GAAGCACAGCCGCGAGCTGCCCAGTGACACAAGATTTCCGGACGAGCTAAACCACTTCTATGCTCGCTTCGAGGCAAGCAACACTGAAGCATGCATGAGAGCACCAGCTGTTCCGGATGACTATGTGATCACGCTCTCCGTAGCCGATGTGAGTAAGACTTTTAAGCAGGTCTACATTCACAAGGCCGGACGGATTACCAGGACGTGTACTCCGAGCATGTGCTGACCAACTGGCAAGTGTCTTCACTGACATTTTCAACATGTCCCTGATTGAGTCTGTAATACCAACATGTTTCAAGCAGACCACCATAATCCCCATGCCCAAGGACTCTAAGATAACCTGCCTAAATGACTACCGACCCGTAGCACTGACATCTATAGCCATGAAGTGCTTTGAAAGGCTGGTCATGGCTCACATCAACACCATCCCAGAAACCCTAGACCCACTCCAATTTGCATACCGCCCCAACAGATCCACAGATGATGCAATCTCTATTGCACTCCACACTGCCCTTTCCCACCTGGACAAGAGGAACACCTACGTGAGAATGCTATTCATTGACTACAGCTCAGCATTCAACACCATAGTGCCCTCAAAGCTCATCACTAAGCTAAGGATCCTTGGACTAAACACCTCCCTCTGCAACTGGATCCTGGACTTCCTGACGGGCCGCCCCCAGGTGGTAAGGGTAGGTAACAACACATCTGCCACACTGATCATCAACACGGGGGCCCCTCAGGGGTGCGTGCTCAGTCCCCTCCTGTACTCCCTGTTCACCCATGACTGCATGGCCAGGCACGACTCCAACACCATCATTAAGTTTGCCGACGACACAACAGTGGTAGGCCTGATCACCGACAATGATGAGACAGCCTATAGGGAGGAGGTCAGAGACCTGGCCATGTGGTGCCAGGATAACATCCTCTCCCTCAACGTGACCAAGACAAAGGAGATGATTGTGGACTACAGGAAAAAAAAGAGGACTGAGCACGCCCCCATTCTCATCGACGGGGCTGTAGTGGAACAGGTTGAGAGCTTCAAGTTCCTTGGTGTCCACATCACCAACGAACTATCATGGTCCAAACACACCAAGACAGTCGTGAAGAGGGCACGACAAAGCCTATTCCCCCTCAGGAGACTGAAAAGATTTGGCATGGTCCTCAGATCCTCAAAAAATTCTACAGCTGCACCATCGAGAGCATCCTGACTGGTTGCATCACTGCCTGGTATGGCAACTGCTTGGCCTATGACCGCAAGGCACTACAGAGGGTAGTGCGTACGGCCCAGTACATCACTGGGGCCAAGCTTCCTGCCATCCAGGACCTCTATACCAGGCGGTGTCAGAGGAAGGCCCTCAAAATTGTCAAAGACTCCAGCCACCCTAGTCATAGACTGTTCTCTCTGCTACCGCATGGCAAGCGGTACCGGAGTGCCAAGTCTAGGTCCAAAATACTTCTCAACAGCTTCTACCCCCAAGCCATAAGACTCCTGAACAGCTAATCATGGCTACCCGGACTATTTGCACTGCCCCCCCACCCCATCTTTTTACGCTGCTGCTACTCTGTTAATGATTTATGCATAGTCACTTTAACTCTACCCACATGTACATATTACTTCAACTACCTCAACTAGCCGGTGCCCCCGCACATTGACTCTGCACCGGTACCCCCCTGTATATAAAGCCTCCCTAGTGTTATTTTATTTTACTTCTGCTCTTTTTTTTCTCAACACTTTTTTGTTGTTTTATTCTACTATTTTATTAAAAATAAATGCACTGTTGGTTAAGGGCTGTAAGTAAGCATTTCCCTGTAATGTCTACACCTGTTGTATTCGGCGCATGTGGCCAATAACATTTTATTTTATTTTATTTGATCAACTGTTCAGAGGAGACTTTGTGAATCAGGTTGAATTTCTGCAAAGAAACCACTACTAAAGGACACCAATAAGAAGAAGAGACTTGCTTGGGCCAAGAATCACAAGCAATGGACATTAGACCGGTGGAAATGTGTCCTTTGGTCTGGAGTCCAAATTGGAGAGTTTTGGTTCCAACCGCTGTGTCTTTGTGAGACACGGTGTGGGTGAACGGATGATCTCCGCATGTGTATTTCCCACCATAAAGCATGGAGGAGGTGGTGTTATGGTGTGGGGGTACTTTGCTGGTGACACTGTCTGTGATTTATTTAGAATTCAAGGCACACTTAACCAGCATGGCTACCACAGCATTCTGCAGCGATACGCCATCCCATCTGGTTTGGGCTTAGTGGGACTATCATTTGTTTTTCAACAGGACAATGACCCAACACAACTCCAGGCTGTGTAAGGGCTATTTTACCAAGAAGCAGATTGATGGACTGCTGCATCAGATGACCTGGCCTCCACAATCCCCTGACCTCAACCAAATTGAGATGGTTTGGGATGAGTCGGACCGCAGAATGAAGGAAAAGCAGCTAACAAGTGCTCAGCGTATGTGGGAACTCCTTCAAGACTGTTGGTAAAGCATTTCAGGTGAAGCTGGTTGAGAGAATGCCAAGAGTGTGCAAAGCTGTCATCAAGGCAAAGGGTGGCTATTTGAAGAATCTCAAATATAAAATATATATATTTTTTGGTTACTACATGATTCCATATATGTTATTTCATAGTTTTGATATCTTCACTATTATTCTACAATGTAGAAAATAGTAAAAATAAAGAAAAACCCTTGAATGAGTAGGTGTTCTAAAACATTTGACCGGTAGTGTATATACTGTATGTATGTTTTGAAAGCAGAGCTAGAGAAGTGCTGGATGTAGCCTAGTATATTTGTCATTGCGCCAGCAATCTAGAATGTGTGGAATGCCACTTGTTTCATAACGGCTCCTGCATCCCTAAATATTTAACCCTTGTGGCTCCCTTGGCATTACTGGACATTACAGTTTATCCCAAGCTATTGTTTCTGGAAGATGCCTATGATTATTCCTGTCTCTTTGTTTTCATCTGCAACTCACTAAATTATTCTATTTATGTTCACAGGAAGAATGGATGCCCAAAAGGTCTATAAGGAAATTGAGACAACACAGATACACAAACATCTCATCAAAGGTATGGTGTATTTGGGATGTTTATTTAAATTTTGGATACATAAATTGGACCACAAACATGCCTTGAGGAACACACCATCACTGTCAAAGTATAAGCATAAATCTGATCAGTATCATCTTCCAAATAAATAATAACTCTGCTCATCCAACTACTATCCTGTCCTTGGTGATGGCCAAATCAAATACATTTATTTCTCAGTCTCTGTGTACCTCTGAGAATGGAACATTCAGCTGTGGAACTGGAACTTACCTCTAATCCCCTGGTAAGGCTCTGACTGACAATGCAAACAGCTGCACTGCTGGATGCGGTCAGTCCTCCTGTTTAAGTCCCCTAAGTCCTCTCAAATGAGGACACGGGAGGCGACAGGAGGGGATGATGAGGCAGACATGTGGCATGTCATTCCCACAGGAGTCAGGGCACATGCAGACCATGGTAGTTGAGCTCACACGCTATTTTGAAGAGCACATGCCAAAGTGCACTGAAAAGACCTTTGACGGCTATTTACATATCAATAATGACTGAGACAAAAGTAAAAAAAAAAAAAAAACATAAATTGTAAATACAAACACAGGATGTGACCCCAAAATGTATATTTCTAATTTATTTTCTAAATCATGTACCTACATTGAACCTACAGGGGGACATGCGCCATCCTCTGACTATTTTGAAACTCTGAAGTCTCTCTTTCAGACTGCAGACAGTGTCCTAATCTGCTGGTCAAGGGTGAAACTGTCACTGACATTGTACCCACAGGGCAGTGACAGGCTGGTGGCAGGACAATGAAAAGTGTCCCTGGAGTATTGGCTCTGGCCGTAGTGGGTCATGACAAAGACATGTATATGATATGCATAGCACGAGTTGCTGACAGGTTGGCGGCATGATTGGCTTATGAAGATTTTATGCCTGGTGTGCTAACCATGTAATAATAATGAGTGTTAATATGAAATTATTCCTCAACCACTTAGTTCTGCTATCATTAGGAGAGCAACAGTCAAGATTATATTTCCTATTTCACATTTCAGAGAGGAACAGGAATGTGATCCATAACAAGATCATAGCAACACTATTCAATGCAAATGTTTGTGTTGGATCAGCTAGGTGTTTCAATCAGTCAATGTGACCTTATATTTAAAAAAAATTGGATGTGTGTGATAATGTTGATTTACACCAGCACTGTCACATGCACATTCACCTGTGAACGCGGCAATCCCTGCCGTTCCCCTTGGGAGTTGGGATTAGCGCTGTGGTTGAGACAGATGGAGATCTAGAGAGATGGAGTGGCCGAAATGAGATGCATTATAATAAATCCTACATCCATTTGAACAGAGATAACAGAGAAGATGAAACAGACAAATATTGACAGTGGTAGATGAAGTGTTGGGGCTTTAGTAATGAGTGCTTGTATAAATGTGACTCACAGGATAGACATCTGAAATTCCTGGACATTATCCCATAAAAATCACAATGGAGCTGTGGAAGGTCGGTCAATGGAGTGGAGCCAGACAACAATGCACACCTCTAGGCAAGAGTGGCATGTCCCTCAGGAGTAATTTGTGTCTCAGTGGGTGATTGTGAGGATCGTGTGTGTGTGTTGTGGGGAGGGGGGTCATGGGGGTCATGGGGTTACAGTGTTCTTGGCCTTTTAAGGCAGGGCCAACAGGGTTATATATGATCTCTGCTATTGCAGGGAGACAGTTCTGAGACCTCCATTCATCTTCACCCCTTAGCAGTGTTGAAGGTAAATTAACACGTCGTAAACTTTTATTGAGTGATAATTATTACATAAATCTAAATCTAATTGTAGGATTTATTACTATTCTTTTGTCAAATGATTAGTGATGTAATGAGACATGTATGGTGGAAATTCTAAAAGTAACATGAAGTAACTAATTTGGCATTTTCTCTGTCTCACAGTGCAACCATGGGTGATGCTGAGATGGTGGTGTTTGGGGCAGCAGCCCAATACCTGAGGAAGTCTGACCGGGAGCGTCTGGAGGCCCAGACCCGTCCCTTCGACATGAAGAAGGAATGCTTTGTGCCTGACCCCGTGGAGGAGTTTGTCAAGGCGTCCGTCACCAGCCAAGGAGACTTGGTCACTGTGCAGACCCAGAATGGGCAGGTCAGTCTTTACTTCAAGTGACCAAGTTGAATTCTGCTTCCCTTTTTTCCCCCAGAACAAGGTTGTAAAGTAATGCAGAATTAAGTGGTTAATAAATACTTGTTCACATTGCAGGCCTTAATGCTCAAATCCGTTTTGTTTTTCAAATCCATTTTGGAATACTGAATGTCCAAACAGCAAGTTACAAGTGACCAAATCGGATTTGTGTGTTCAGACAGCAGTAATTTGCTGACATGGCTACGCTAGTTGTCATAGTAATGACGGGTGTGTGTGCAGTGGTGTAGGCTGATTGGTGGTGGTGCTCGTGCTGCCTACACTCTTAGAAAAAAGGGTTCCAAAAGGGTTCTTTGGCTGTCCCCATAGGAGAACCCTTTTTGGTTATCAGGTAGAACTCTTTTGGGTTCCATGTAGAACCATCTGTGGAAAGGGTTCTTCATGTAACCCAAAAGGGTTCTACCTGGAACCAAAAGGGTTATACCTGGAACCAAAAAGGGTTCTTCAAAGGGTTCTCCTATGGGGACAGCCGAAGAACCCTTATTGGTTCTAGATAGCACCTTTATCTCTAAGAATGTTTCACTCAGAAGTTATGTAGCAAGCTAAGGTGACAACAATGCCTGCCATGGATGTTTCCCAGTTGCTTTGAATGTTCAAAATCATAGTGTAAGACACTTTTAAAGCCTCAAAGGATAAGATGATCCAACTTTCAAAACGAGTCCTTTTTGGCTAGCCACAGCAGTCAACTAGCTAGGTAGCTGTTTAGCTTTCTAGGACAGGAAACAGATTTGTATCTGATTTCAAACCACCTATGAAGGTGGTTTGAAATGCGCCTTGAAATATTTGATTCCATATTATTTTTGGCTGTTCAGACTGCAAGAAAAAGAACAGATTCGAATCGAATATGAGTCACTTCAAACTGCCAATGTGAACAAGGCTTAACTGTCTTTACAAAATCTCTCCAATTTCTTACAGACTCTCACCTTCAAAGACTCTCATATTATGCAATAGAATCCTCCCAAATTTGACAAGATTGAGGACATGGCCATGCTGACCTTCCTCCACGAGCCTGCTGTTCTGTACAACCTCAAAGATCGTTACGCAGCATGGATGATCTATGTGAGCACGAGAGTCGCTTCTTCATTAAGTTCGAAATTTGAATCTTAAGTTGACAACTTTTTTCTATGTAAAATATCCCCACCAAAACCATAGTAATACTTTCCAATGTTATGCACTTTCAACTGTATCGATCTTTTACAGACCTACTCAGGGCTGTTCTGCGTCACTGTCAACTCCTACTGTCACGGTTTCGGCCGAGGCTGCTCCTCCTCCTGGTTCGGGCAGGCTTCGGCGGTCGTCGTCCCCGGAGTACTAGCTGCCACCGATCTATGTTTCATGTTCGTTTGGTTTTGTCTTGATGTTGTACACATGTGTCTTGTTAGTCCTCGTTAGTGTCCTATTTAGTTCTCGTTGTGTGTGTTTGTCTTTGTGTGTGATTGCTCTTCTGTTTTGTGTTGGAGCTACGTACTTCCCTCCAGTGTTTTGGAGAGGTTTTTCGCACATGTTAGTGCGCCGTTTGTTTGACGCCTGTGTGCGCCGTTATTTCGCCTTCGGGCTTATTGTGCTTATTTTCTACGTGAATATTGCACTAAAGTCTTTTGGACTGAGCTTCTGCGTCCTGCGCTTGATTCATGCACCACACCCACCTTCAGCACCCCTTGACACCTACAAGTGGCTGCCAGTGTATGATCCATCTGTAGCCTATAGAGGCAAGAAGAGGCAAGAAGCTCCTCTCCACATCTTCTCGATCTCTGACAATGCCTATCAGTGCATGCTGACAGGTAAACTCAAATAGCTACTTTAGAAAATATGTAAGGGAATGATAATGATAATTAATTCTGATAATTATATAAAATTGCATTTTTATTACCTGTATAGACCGTGAGAACCAGTCTATTCTGATCACGTAAGTACTACACTACTCATCCTACTCACATGCTTTAAAAGAGTGCTTTATCTGTCATGTTACATAGGATATTGTGATAAACTCTATTTTTAAAGATTACTGTGTGTTTCCAGTGGAGAATCTGGTGCTGGAAAGACTGTGAACACCAAGAGAGTCATCCAGTACTTTGCAAGCATTGCAGCTAGTGGCAGGAAGAAAGATGCAGCCGCCCAAAACAAGGTATTCAATCTGCGACAGCTTTGGCATGCATATTTTCATGATTGAGCAGTTCTGTAGCTATTTGTAAAGCCAAGCATCTAACATGTGTTTCTATAACATTCTAAGGGAACTCTGGAGGATCAAATCATCCAGGCTAACCCAGCTCTGGAGGCCTTTGGTAACGCCAAGACCATCAGAAATGACAACTCCTCAAGATTTGTGAGTTTTCTGATGGATATTCTTATACAGCATTAATCACCCAAAAAGAAACTAACAGAAATATTATATTTAGGGTACATTTATCAGGATTAATTTTGACACTCGAGGAAAGCTTGCTTCTGCTGATATTGAGACGTGAATCCAAAGATAAAAAAACACTTTGAAAAGTCTGAGAGAACTGGTCTACAGTGTCTGAAATAAATGTATTTGTCTACTGTTCTAAATCTCCTTATTTCCAGACCTTCTGGAGAAGTCTCGAGTCACTTTTCAGCTGAAGGCTGAGAGGGACTAGCACATCTTCTATCAGATCTTGTCAAACAAGAACTGGGTCAGTACCACAATTAGATAACAATGGTGTAATGACTGCATTCATTTGTGGAGTGTAATAATAAGTAATAGCATGTCTGTATTTGTCTTTCTATGTCTCTCTTCCCGACCTTATGGGTATACAGAGATGTTGCTTGTCACGTTCGTTATATAAAGGATTGGACCAAGGTGCAGCGTGGTATGCGTACATGTTTAATTTATTAAATAAACACTTGACAAAATAACAAAAGCAACTGAACGTGAAGTTCTAAAGGCTAACAGCAACAAGCCTAAACTGAAACAGAAACAAGATCCCACAACTAAAGGTAGGCAAAATGGCTGCCTAAGTATGAACCCCAATCAGAGACAATGATCGAAAGCTGCCTCTGATTGTGAACCACACCCGGCCAACATAGAAATATATAACATAGTTTGGTCAGGGTGTGAATGTTGACATTCTAACTAGAGAATAACAAGGTTCTCAAGGTCAGGCCGTGACAGTACCCCCCCCAAAGGTGAGGACTCCGGCCGCAAAAACCTGACTCAATAGGGGAGGGTCCGGGTGGGCATCTAGCCTCGGTGACGGCTCCGGCTTCGGACACAGTACACTCCTCTCCTTTCCTGCCTCCCGTAGCACACCTGGTCCGGTCTGGACCCCGGTGCGATGCTTCCCCTCTTAGTCCTCCCACGATGCACCAAGTCCTGTCTGGACCCTGGTGTGGGAGCCCTCGACCCTGGAGAGGGGTTGACGTCTGGTTCCGGCTCGGCAGTCCTCCTGCGATGCACCAAGCCCTGTCTGGACCCTGGTGTGGGAGACCCCGACCCCGGAGAGGGGTTGACGTCTGGTTCCGGCTCGGACCCCGGTGGCGTGGATGGCTCCGGCATGGGGGAAGAGTAGACGACCAGACCCGGACTAGGCACCGGTGAAGTGTACTGCCCCGGCTCTGGTAGGGAGCAGATAACCGGAGCTGGACTAGGCACCGGTGGAGCGGACTGCTCTGGCACTGGAGTGAAGCAGCTGACCGGAGCTGGACTAGACACCGGTGGAGTGGACTGCTCTGGCACTGGAGTGGAGCGGCTGACCGGAGCTGGATTAGGCACCGGTGGAGCGGACTACTCTGGCATAGGAGTGGAGCAGCTGACCGTTGCTGGACTTGGCACCGGTGGAGCGGACTGCTCTGGCACCGGAGTGGAGCAGTGGACCCGCACTGGAGGTCTGGTGCGTGGCGCTGGAACAGGCCGTACCGGACTGGAGACACACACCACTGGTTTGGTGCGAGGAGCAGGTACGGGGCGCACCGGGCTGGCGACATGCACCACTGCTTTAGTGCGAGGAGCAGGTACGGGCCGTACAGGACTGGAGACACGCACCACTAGTTTGGTGCGAGGAGCAGGTACGGGGCGGACCGGGCTGGCGACACGCACCACTGGTTTAGTGCGAGGAGCAGGCACGGGCCTTACCAGGCTGTGGACACGCTCCACTGGTTTGGTGCGAGGAGCAGGTACGGGGCACGCCGGGCTGGAGACACGCACCACTGGTTTGGTGCGAGGAGCAGGCACGGGTCGTACCAGGCTAGGGACACGCACCACTGGTTTGGTGCGAGAAGTAGGTACGGGGCGCACCGGGCTGGCGACACGCACCACTGGTTTGGTGCGAGGAGCAGGTACAGGTTGTACAGGACTGGAGACACGCACCACTGGTTTGGTGTGAGGAGCAGGCACGGGCCTTACCAGGCTAGGGACACGCACCACTGGTTTGGTGCGAGGAGCAGGCACAACCCGTCCTGGCTGAACGCTCATTTTAGCCCGGCAAGAGCGGGACGCGGGCACCAAGCGCACCGGGCTGTGAATGTGCACTGGAGATACAGTGCGTATCACAGCATAACAGGGTGCCTGTATGGTCCCATGCTCCTTAACGCGAGGGCGGGGAGTTGGCTCTACTCTGAAACCTGGCTCCGCCAGCTCTAAGGACTGCGTTCTCTTTTGCTGTACGGTTAACTCCTCTCTCAGCTCCTCCTGTTGTCTGGCCAGCTCCTCTCTCCGTGCATCCACTGACTCCTTCTCCCTGTGGGCCTCCTGCAGCGCCTCCCTCTGAAGGGAGCTCTCCTGCTCTCTCTTAACTAACAGCCCCCTTAAGGTAGTTATCTCCTCTCTCAGAGTGCTGAGCTGCATGTCTTGGAGGGCCTCTATAATAGCGGCCTCCTCTTCCTCCACAGTCAGCCATTTCAGGGTCTCCTTCTGCTCCGTGTGCCCCCCCCCAAAAAACATTATTGGGGCTGCCTCTCGTGCTTCCTTCGCGGTCGGCACCGTTGGCGTCGCCGTTGATCCTCTCCTGCCTTGGCTTCTTCCTTCGCCCAGGGTCCTTTACCGGCTAATATCTCCTCCCATGTCCAAAATGTCTTCCCCACCTGTGTCCAGGGTGTCTGCTCCTCCTGGCCACGCTGCTTGGTCCGAATATGGTGGGACCTTCTGTCACGTTCGTTGTATAAAGGATTGGACCAAGGTGCAGCGTGGTATGCGTACATGTTTAATTTATTTTAATAAACACAGACAAAATAACAAAATCCAACAGAACGTGACGTTCAAGAGGCTAAACATCAAACAATCCAAACAGAAACAAGATCCCACAACTAAAGGTAGGCAAAATGGCTGCCTAAGTATGATCCCCAATCAGAGACAACGATCGACAGCTGCCTCTGATTGGGAACCACACCTGGCCAACATAGAAATATATAACATAGAATGTCAACATTCACACCCTGACCAAACTAACTAGAGAATAACAGGGTTCTCAAGGTCAGGGCGTGACATTGCTGGTGACAGCTAATCCCTATGACTACGCCTTCATCTCCCAGGGGGAGACAACTGTGTTGTCTATTGATGACGCTGATGAACTGATGGCAACAGATGTGAGTTACTTATTCACCGTCACTCTGGCCCCTGAATTTTGGTATTCTTTCGTTTGGGAAATCAGAGTGTTGTCTTGTTGAATTTCAAGCCAGCTTGTTATGTTGCATATGTCAAGTAAACATTGCAGCCTACCCTGTTCTTGGTTTGAAATAATAATATCCACTATAGCAGAGTGGTCATTACATCATGAAATATCAGTGGGGGGTTTTAAATGACCAATTCTTACTTCTACATCGCTGTTCTTTTCTTCTCCTCCACAGGATGCTGCTTTACTCTGGAGGAGAAAAACTCAGTGTATAAGCTGACTGGTGCCATCATGCACTATGGCAACATGAGGTTCAAGCAGAAACAGCGTGAGGAGCAGGCAGAGGCTGATGGCACTGAAGGTGAGACCTGGCTAAAAGCCAAAAGCATTGGGATTAGATAGTTCTGTGAATCCATGTGTAAAGTCACTGGTTTTCTTTCCCAGGTGCTGACAAAGTCTCATATCTCATGGGCCTGAACTCTGCTGACCTCATAAAGGGTCTCTGTCACCCAAGGGTCAAAGTAGGGAATGAGTGGGTCACCAAGGGGCAAACTGTCCAACAGGTGAACTATACCGTTGGTGCCCTTTCCAAAGCTGTGTATGAAAAGATGTTCATGTGGATGGTGGTGCGAATCAACCAGTCATTGGAGACCAAGCTGGCTCGCCAGTACTTCATCGGTGTACTGGACATTGCTGGTTTTGAGATCTTTGATGTGAGTTTATAAATAGACAATTATTATCAAATATTAATTTAGGTTCTCAAGCAACACTATCAAGTAATGTTCCTGATAGGAACCTTTATGTGAAAACCTAACCATTTAACCATCTATAATTGCAGTACAACACCTTTGAGCAGCTCTGCATCAACTTCACCAATGCAAAGCTGCAACAGTTTTTCAACCAACACATGTTTGTTCTAGAGCAATAAGAGTACAAGAAAGAGGGAATTGAATGGGAGTTCATTGACTTTGGCATGGACGTGCAGGCTTGCATTGATCTTATTGAGAAGGTAACTGAAATACTGCATATATGGACCAAATTAAATATAGCTATAATATGATGCATACAATTGTTGGGTTTTATTTTTCTCATAATTGGATCTGTATGTGATGAATAGCTTGGAAGGAATGCATTAATGAGGAGCACTGTACTGATATGGATTGTTTCACATAACAGCCTGTTATTCATGTGGGGAACGTTAGGGGTAGGACAGATAAGACTTGTATTTCTCACAGATACGAACACTCTCTCTTTGTAGTCTGTGAAACTGTCCTTGAACATGGAGTACAGTGGAATGGTGTCTTTTGGGTGCTGACTCCGCAGGTTATTATCATAGCAACTATGCCTGGCAACAAATGGAGTGCCGAGGAGTTGGGACCAACCCCTGCGCCAACGGATTGGCTGAATGGAGTCTGGACCACACTCAGTCCTTTGCTCTGGTTGGCCAACAGAAGAGGTGGAGGCTTTCTGTCAGAGTATTTGAGAAAGAATCTGTAAACAATAATTCTAGTTCTCTGTCTGCCCTGCGTGGTTTTTCAGTGAGCCCGTATACGAACCTTCATACTTATCATACATACATTTTGCATATAATAAATTTAGCTTGGATTGAATATCTCTTGATTATGTTGATTCTTATTCCAATACCAGATTTGAATTACGCAATTTCTAACAATTGCTGACCCCGACGTGATCTGGTGGCGGAACTTCGCTGGAATTCACCCAGCCTATTGGACATCACTGTCATCGAACGATGTGTTTCACAAATCGCCCGGGCTTCTAAAAAGGTAAGCAAAACACCTATTGTAATATAACTGAAGTTTTGCACATTGGCTTTATCCAAATTAATTTTGTGAAGCACCTGTTTGATGTAAGTGAACCCTATTATACTATAAATAACGATTACAGTATACTATTTCGATTTCATAATATACTATGCAAATGTTTGATAATTGTGATGGTTAAACCCATGGGAGTGCGACGCTATGACTGAAGGCTCATAGGAGGCACTTTAAAGTAGATTAGATAGTGCGACGCTATGACTGAAGGCTCATAGGAGGTACTTTAAAATAGATTAGACAGTGCGACGCTATGACTGAATGCTCATAGGAGGTACTTTAAAATAGTTTAGACAGTGCGAGCTATGACTGAGAGACTCATAGGAGGTACTTTAAAAGTTAGACAGTGCGAGTGTTGTCGTATGCATGAGAGTGTGAATGACAAACCTGTATACCTTGATAGAAAACTAATTGGGAATTAAAACGTCTGTGGCTGTCCAAACTGTATAATTTGGGGATAACTGTTGGGTTTGTGGTTGCTTAAACCATATAACCCGTTAAAACAATTGGGAACATAAAGCTAAAGTGATGAATTGTGTGACTGAACTGAAACGGTTGAGCTGATATGTTTGAACTGTGCCGTTTGGTGTTAGACATAGCATAATTCTGGTTATAGGTGCTTGGGTTGAGGCTTTTTGGTTTATTATTTGATTTAACGTTTGATGTTTGACCCTGCAAAATACTGGTTAAACAATTAGACTGAAATAATTTGGTTTATCGTTTCAATATAAACATGCACCAACTTTAACTAATTAGGTGGGAATAATTTGATTTAAATAATTAGATTAAAGTACTTTAAATAACGACAGAATATTGGAAACACTAGCACAGCTCCTCAAAAGAGCCTGCTCCCACCGAGCACTGGAGAGAGAGTTGTGAGGGGAGGGGCTGGAGAGAGCGAAACTGTGGCTTTTGGAGCGAGGAAAGACTGGAGTTGGCTGGGAACACCACGGGGTGATTATTTGAGAGGTGCCTGGGGGTTTCTGACGATGGATATTCTGAACTTGCTCATCCGAGCGTAGACGTGCGTCATGGGTGAGAAAGTGGAGAATATTTACATTTGCATTTTTGGTGATTTGGCAGACGCTCTTGTCCAGAGCGACTTGCAGGTGCGATTGGGGTTGAGTGCCTTGCTCGAGGGCACATCAGCAGATTTTTCGCCTGGTCGGCTCGGGGATTGGAACCGGCGACCTCTCGGTTGTTGGCGCGGCGCTACTGATCACTAAGCTGCCTGCCGCCCCATATGGGTTTAAGGTTGTGGCGTTGTTTGATCATGTGATAAGGTTTAATTTGTAATCGGACCATAACTAAAGTGGTTATAGAAGTAATGTATAGGTAGGGGAGAGCCAATAGGGGGCTCCATTGAACTATTATGGTTTATTTGGCATTTCAATGGCATAAGGTGAAATCTGTATGCATGAGGGGAATTCGATTATGTATTATTATAGTATTATGGACACTCCGTAATAAATAAACTGAACCAAACAAGACGTTACTACAGCAATAGAGAATAGTTAATGTTGTTACGTTAGTTCTTAAACCCGATGATAGAGGTAAATGCAGAACGCTGTTAGAGTGTGTTTTATTTTTGTTACTAGGGTGTTTGAGACGGAAGGGCTGGCTAGACGGGGGTGATGACGTGGCTGGATGTGCGACGTGAAAGTATTTACTTTGAGAGAATCGTAGATGGTGTGGAGTGACTGGCGATGTTCCTGGTTCGAACACAGGTAGGGACAGTAGACAAAGCTTTCGCAGTGGGTCTATATACCTAGATTACTATGTGGATTGAGAAATGTGAAAGGTTGAATTAGATAGCTTAAATAGAAGTATTCTAGAAAAGTCTATGAAAATATGTTATAAGGTTACCATGTGCTCTCCCCGAAAGAGCAAGGGGAGGGTGAGAGATAGTACAGTTCAGATGGTAGGAACATCATTAAATGTATGCTAATCAACGATAGCAAGTATTTGTTTTATTAATTAGGGCATAATCAGAGAGAACAGTTAAATAAATTGAATAGCGAACTGAAATGGTTTAGCGGGAAAATATAAATTTTTGGTACATGTAGCAGAGTTAGGGTAATCAATTAAATAATAATTGTATACTCGAGGAATTTTGAGTGGTTTTATAGATTAGTTATGAGGAATTAGATTGATACAAACAATTATTGATGGGTTAAGACTGGGGATAACCAGGAGAAAGAGATTAGCTCATCTCGTTGGAATGTTGCCTAGGGCTAGGGGAGCAGTAGTGAAGTTAGGCAGTATTTAGGTCATAAAAGTGAGCTACCAAATTAAGGCCTGGCTATTTGTGGTTGTTTTTCAAATTGGGTTTTTCAAACAAAAAACAACACACCTAGTATGATGTTTATAAAGCCTTGTTGTTTCAATTTTGGGGGGGTTTCAGCAGGTCAAGGGTGATAGGTCTTAGAGGAGCACACAGTGAATTTTATGGAGTTTTTTAGCTTTTGGCTGAGTTTGGGGTATATATGATTTCTTATGAGAATGAATGTCATGAGGACTTAATGAACACTTGGGATAACTAACATTTATGAAATATTTAGAATAATGGTAATGTTTAGTATACTATGGGATTAAACAGTTCGTTAAATGATTTCAATTGCCTCTGAACTCTGTTTTAACATTCTGGTGTTATTTTAATCATCCACACTAGTAAATTCTAAAGGCATGAGAGGAGGACTTTAAGATAGTTTATTTTACTAAGTTGAGGGTAATTTGTAATACTGAGCAAATTGTGAAGAAGATTATAGTTTGGTAATAGTATATTTGATTTGAACCATAAAATAACAGAAGAGAGAGTGGAGGAATGGCAATTGGATAATTAATTACCAATCTTAACTAAAGTGATTGTTTAGGTAGGTGGTAATATTGACACATGGCCAAATCATGTGTCAAAAAGGGGGATGGTTGGATTAAATATTAAATATATACGAAGGAGAGGACAAAATACAAAAAAAAACAAAAAAAACATGTATGATAGTTTATTAACCACACCTGTATCTCAGAGGTTTTGTGCCCCACAGGTGAACTAAAGGAGAAGGTGACCCACTCTATCTAACCAGGAGACTGAATCAGGCCTGGCGGGAAGGGCCCTACCAAGTACTGCCTTTGCCAGCAGAATAGCTGAGAGATCCATCTGGGTGCATGTCACTCACTGCAAAAAGGTAAACCCAGCTACACCTGACGAACAAACACAGAGTTAGGAGAAAGATCCGATCACCACTAGGGCTCGGGGGTTGGCTCCTTAACGAAGATTCCCTTACCCTGTCTGAGTTCGATAGAAGGTGAAGCAATGGGTTGGCCTCTGGCGTCTGACATGTTCTCAGGGCGAGGGTGGGGATTCACAGGTCTCCCGACGGTAGGTAGCTGTCTGATTGTGGGGGCCATATTCCTAACACACACGGACCCTCCTGTTTCAGCCAGAAGTGGTAGTTAACCTAACACAAGTTGAAAAGGCATAGGAGACAGCTAGACGTAGGGAAAGGGGAAATACTAGGGACTTTAGGGAAGGACATCACCAATTTCCATACACAGTTTAGGGACAGGTGGAGTATTGTGAAAGTAGGGAATTATCAGAAATGGCAGTGCGACCCATATAAGGGTAGGTACTGTCTGAAAGTCTGAATTATGCTAAAACAGATTACAGACCTGACAAGTGAGATATCTTCTTCAACTGGGGCACCCTATAGAGTAAACCTGTCTGAGGGAGGTAGTGAGATAGTGCAAACTATAGACCTGAAGGAAGTAGTACAGATGGAGACGGAGTAAATAGATTTTAACCTGTGGTTGGAATGGATTCAGTATACGGTCTAAAGAGGACTGTTATGCCTGTAGGACAGCCAAACCAAGGTTAAGAACTACTCCGTTCCCCTTGACAGGCTTTGACTCTCTGTCAGGATTATCCTCCATGCAAGCCACCTGGGGATGTGGTGAAAGAGTCTTATGGTAACTTGCACTATCTGTTTCCCCCGATAACAAAGTCATCCCGACCTGGGTTGCCTCAGTTTGAAGTCACAGGGGATTCTTATTGTTTTTCTAGGACTAATAAGATAGGATACAGGGTAGGGCCTCTTAGCTCCTGCTCCCACACAGAGAATGTCACAACTAAAAGAGACCATGACTAATCTCTCCTCTTTGTTGCAGACCAGGCCCGTGCTGACATCTGATGGTTGTGTGGTGATAACTGATTGTGAACTCACCTACATACGCAAACAATCAAATGTGTCAGAGACTGGTGAGTTGTCACGTAGAAAGTAGGACCTCCTCCCGGGATCCTTTGATGAAAGGATATATATTGATGGGATCCACAATCAGATCGCAGCTGGGTTTGAATCAAGTATTTTCTGGTGGTCAACAATTAATAAAAATGTAGATTGGACAGACAGCGGCAACTAGCTTAATGACATGGCAGAATAGAATAGCTTTAGATATGCTTTTGGCTGAGCGGGACGGGGTTTGTGTTCTGTTTGGATATATGTGCTGTACTTTCATCTCCAACAACACAGCACCGGACGGGTCCGTGACCAAAGCGCTTCAGGGACTCACCACGCTGGCGAACGAACTGGTTGAGAACTCTGGTATTGATAGCTCCATAAACGGTTGGTTTGATAACATATTTGGTAAATGGAAAACTATTGTTGTGACTATTCTGGGTGAAGTTATAGCTTCTATGGGTATACTTGTTCTTTGTGGATGTTGTCTTATTTCCTGTGTCTGAGGGTTGGTGAGAAAAGGAGATGGAGAAGGTGGTTTCCAAACAGATGGTGAGATACGGCCCAATCCCGGACTCCGACCTAAGGAATGAAGGATATGACCTACCAGGCTTGGTGGAGTGACACTCTAGAGGGTGTCTAAAGGGGGCCAAAATTTACTTCCCTGTTGGTGTTTTATGTTTTAATAATCTTATGTTTTGTGTTCTATTAATCCTGTGTTTTATGCTTTATTAATCAAGTTAACCATTGAGAATGTTTGTCTTTCCTTATGTGAAGGTTTGAAGTGCCTGGGTGACTTATAGCCAACCGTTTGCAAGTTGGGTGTAGATGGAAGGACTGAAGGACTTTTATTATCAAATTGTCTATTAATAAAAGTGTTTATTTTTGTTTGTATTGTATTTTAATGAGTGACACCCTAGAGGGTGTCAAAAGGGGGAATTGTTGGGTTTTATTTTTCTCATAATTGGATCTGTATGTGATGAATAGCTTGGAAGGAATGCATTAATGAGGAGCACTGTACTGATATGGATTGTTTCACATAACAGCCTGTTATTCATGTGGGGAACGTTAGGGGTAGGACAGATAAGACTTGTATTTCTCACAGATACGAACACTCTCTCTTTGTAGTCTGTGAAACTGTCCTTGAACATGGAGTACAGTGGAATGGTGTCTTTTGGGTGCTGACTCCGCAGGTTATTATCATAGCAACTATGCCTGGCAACAAATGGAGTGCCGAGGAGTTGGGACCAACCCCTGCGCCAACGGATTGGCTGAATGGAGTCTGGACCACACTCAGTCCTTTGCTCTGGTTGGCCAACAGAAGAGGTGGAGGCTTTCTGGCAGAGTATTTGAGAAATAATCTGTAAACAATAATTCTAGTTCTCTGTCTGCCCTGCGTGGTTTTTCAGTGAGCCCGTATACGAACCTTCATACTTATCATACATACATTTTGCATTTAATAAATTTAGCTTGGATTGAACATCTCTTGATTATGTTGATTCTTATTCCAATACCAGATTTGAATTACGCAATTTCTAACACTACTGAATAGGATTGTATCAGACAACAACCTCTCAGTTGAGTCAAGTGAACTATCTTATCTCTAGTTTCTTCTGCTCAGCCAATGGGTATCATGTCCATCCTTGAAGAGGAGTGCATGTTCCCCAAGGCCAGCGATGCTACCTTTAAAACCAAGCTTTACGACAACCATCTTGGAAAATCCAACAAATTCCAGAAGCCCAGGCTTATCAAAGGGAAACCAGAGGCCCATTTTGCCCTGGCTCACTATGCTGGTACTGTGGACTACAACACCAGCAACTGGCTGGTGAAGAACAAGGATCCATTAAATGAAACGGTTGTAGGAATGTACCAGAAGTCTGCAATGAAGTTACTGGCTATCCTGTTTGCTAATTATGCTAGTGCAGACTCAGGTATTGTACACTTTGTCAGATATTCACACTTCAATAAGACTGATCTTCATAAAGAGTAAAGCACAAACTCTTCGTGGGTGCATGAATGAATGAAGGATTTCTGTTGGCTTAATTGCTTTCTTTTCTAACTTCAGCAGACAGTGGGAAGAAGGAGAAAAAGAAAAAGGGATAATCTTTCCAAACTGTGTCAGCACTTCACATGGGATGTAGTTGCATTGTTTTATACAGCAAAATATTATTTGAAAATTAAATCATCTCCAAAATATTGCTATTTTTAAAACACGCCTTGGAAAGTTGGTTGCAATTTCAGTTTAATCCACCAGAAAAGACACAACAAATATTACAACATAAATGATTGTTAAACTCAAATATACTAATTTATTAAAAAAAACATTATATAAAAAAAAGTTTAATCTTTGTAAATTATATAATAAATAGGACTTGTGGAGTCATGTCACACATGAAGCTAACAAAATGTATGGAAATGTCTGCTCTACCCAAAATTACAACAAACTAAATTAAAGTGTGATAAATAAAAAAGTATACCCGTTTCATTTAAGGACCAAAAAAGTGACAGCTGTGCCATATAGATTGCAAAATAGTTGGGAAGAGATTTTCGATGTACCGATTCCATGGCACATGGTTTATGAACTGATACACAAAACGACGGCGTATTAAAAATGTAGAGTTTTTCTGTTTAAATTATTATACAAAATTATTGCAACCAATAGAATGTTATGTATATAGGGGATACAACCATTCCGGCTCTGCAGATTTTGCTGCGAAGAGACAGAATCATTAGATAATTTGTTTTCGTACTGTCCATATGTAGCTTGTTTTTGGTTGCAGGTTCAGGAATGGCTGAAGAATTGCAAGATTTACCTGGAGCAAACTCTGTAAATAGCACTGCTGGGTGATTTGAAAAGTCATAGTCAATCAATCAATAATATAACAATACTCTTAGCAACAATGTTTATCTTTAATTTACAATATGTAGAAACTATGAGAATAGAAAGGTTCAGAACTTTTGTGAAACATCACAGCACAGTTAAAAAAATATATGGCGAATAGAAATCAAAACTGGATGGTGTTCAGATATAGATGGGAGGGGTTGAGTGGAGCTGAAGATTGGGACTAAAAATAACAAGATAACTAATGTAACATATAATGTATCCGTAAAATGTAAATAGGTTCAGAACTTTTGTGAAACAGCATAGTTGAAAAATATATGGCAAATAGAAATCAAAACTGGGGTTGAGGGTAGCTGAAGGATGGGACTAAAAACAAACAAAATGTAACTATTGTAAAATATACTGTGTCCGTACAATGTACAGTTGAAGTCGGAAGTTTACATACACTTAGGTTGGAGTCATTAAAACTTGTTTTTCAAACCACTCCACAAATTTCTTGTTAACAAACTATAGTTTTGGCAAGTCGGTTAGGACATCTACTTTGTGCATGACACCAGTAATTTTTCCAACAATTGTTTACAGACAGATTATTTCACTTATAATTCACTGTATCACAATTCCAGTGGGTCAGAAGTTTACATACACTAAGTTGACCGTGCCTTTAAACAGCTTGAAAAATTCCAGAAAATGATGTCATGGCTTTAGATGCTTCTGATAGGCTAATTGACATTACATTTACATTTTAGTCATTTAGCAGACGCTCTTATCCATCATTTGGATGTCAATTGGAGGTGTACCGGTGGATGTATTTCAAGGCCTACCTTCAAACTTAGTGCCTCTTTGCTCGACATCATGGAAAAATCAAAAGAAATCAGCCAAGACCTCAGAAAAAAAATTGTAGACCTCCACAAGTCTGGGTCATCCTTGGGAGCAATTTCCAAACGTGTGATGCAGAGGAGCGATGTGAGGAGCTGATCAAAAGCAAGATCCAGCTTGAGGCCAAAGGCAAAGAGCTGATGGAGAGACTGGAGGATGAAGAGGAAATAAATGCAGAACTGACTGCTAAGAACAGGAAGCTGGAGGACGAGTGCTCTGAGTTAAAGAAGGACATTGATGATCTGGAGCTCACTCTGGCTAAAGTGGAGAAGGAAAAGCATGCCGCTGAGAACAAGGTAATTCTTAATCTTTGAATCTGTATGAAGAACACAACATGTTTTTTAAAAGGCAGTGTGCTCAGCCTATGTTGTCTGTTCACAGGTGAAGAACCTGATTGAGGAAATGGCAGCTATGGATGAAATCATTGCCAAGCTGACAAAGGAGAAGAAAGCTCTTCAAGAAGCTCACCAGCAAACACTGGATGACCTGCAGAGTGAGGAGGACAAAGTCAACAATCTAACCAAGGCTAAGCTGGAGCAACAAGTTGATGATGTGAGATCCTATATTGAGATTAGATGGTCTTTTAATGGAAAAAATGCTAACAAACAGCTAGCAATTTTTATTTGCTTCTTGTCCTCTGATGCTTGAAGGGTCCCTTGAGCAAGAGAAGAAGGTGCGAATGGATCTTGAAAGAGCCAAGAGGAAGCTGGAGGGTAACTTAAAGTTGTCCCAGGAGAGCGTAATGGACCTGGAGAATGATAAACAACAGCTAGAGGAACGCCTCAAGAAGTAAGATTAAAACTATAATACTACACTCTACTGCAAACATGCATATACGAGCTACCAATTAATGATTCCACAGGAAGGACTTTGAAATCAATAATCTGATCTGTAGGATTGAGGATGAACAGGCTATAATAATTCAACTTCAAAAGAGGTTGAAGGAGCTTCAGGTAATGAAGAAGTACAACATCCTTAATCGATTTGAACTCTTCAACCGTTTGTATATTTTACCATGATGATGCCATTTTGTATTGTGCTAGGCCCGTGTAGAGGAACTGGAAGAGGAGCTTGAGGCAGAAAGAACTGCCCGAGCCAAGGTGGAGAAGCAAAGAGTAGACTTGGCCAGAGAGCTGGAGGAGATCAGTGAGAGGCTGGAGGCTGGTGGAGGCCACTGTGGTCCAGATTGAGATGAACAAAAAGAGGGAGATGGAGTTCCAGAAACTTCGCAGAGACCTCGAAGAGGCCACTCTGCAGCACGAGGCTACAGCTGCCACACTCAGGAAGAAACAAGCTGACAGTGTGGCTGACCTGGGGGAGCAGGTAGACAACCTGCAGAGAGTGAAGCAGAAACTGGAGAAGGAGAAGAGCGATCTTAGGCTAGGGCTGGATGATGTCCTCTCCAACATGGAACATGTTGCAAAGTCAAAGGTAAAAAGTCCATCTAAGTGAAAGTACAATTTTTTTTCCATTTGGTCACTGTTTACCTCTTGAATTCATTTTTTTTGTCTTTCATCTTGAAGATTAACTTGGAGAAGTTGAGTAGAACTCTAGAGGACCAAGCCAATGAATACAGAACCAAGTATGAGGAAAGGCAAAGATCCCTCAATGACATTACAACTCAGAAAGCCCGACTTCAAGCCGAGAATGGTAGGTAGAATAACTTCTGTCTCTGGATATTGCAATAAAGAAGCTGAATGAGGTAACAAGCTAAAGTCTATTCCTCAACCTCTTACTTTCTAGATGAGATTGGTAGACAGTTGGAAGATAAGGAATCTCTTGTCTCTCAGCTGACCAGAGGAAAGAATTCCTACAGTCAACAGCTTGAAGATCTAAAGAGACAGCTGGAGGAGGAAGTCAAGGTCATTTAGAACATTCATTTTCTTATTGATAAATGATGATGCCTTCATCATAAAATGAATGCCCTCTGTCCTTGCTCCCTTCAGGCAAAGACTGCACTATCCCATGCAGTGCAGTCTGCTCGCCATGACTGTGACCTGCTTAGAGAGCAGTATGAGGAGGAGCAGGAGGCCAAGGCTGACCTGCAGCGTGGCATGTCCAAGGCTAACTCTGAGGTGGCTCAGTGGAGAACTAAGTATGAGACTGATGCCATTCAGAAAACTGAAGAACTGGAGGAAGCCACGTAAGGAATGAGTGCTATTTTTTAGAATCCTAATTCCTGCTAAATAGCAGCAACATTCCTCAATGCGCAAATAGTGCTAAGTAAATTGCCTGAAGTTTGGAGAAGCCATGAAATGATATACCACATTTTCTACTTTGTCTCTTCATCTACAACTCAGGAAGAAGCTGGCTCAGCGCCTGCAGGACGCTGAAGAAGCTGTGGAGGCTGTGAACACTAAGTGTTCCTCCCTAGAGAAGACCAAACACAGACTGCAGAATGAGATTGAAGATCTCATGGTGGATGTGGAGAGGTCTAATGCTGCTGCTGCTGCCCTGGACAAGAAGCAAAGAAACTTTGACAAAATATGCAATGCAGTTCTTCAAATCACACGTGTATCTGAATTCCTGAATTCTACACAGCAGAAACAAAATCATAGGCGTACTTCAACACTTATAAAAGAGTCATGATTGAAGTCAAATGGCTGCTGTATTATATAATGTAGGTCCTGGCTGAATGGAAGCAGAAGTATGAGGAGTCTCAGTGTGAGCTGGAGAGCTCCCAGAAGGAGGCCAGGTATCTGAGCACTGAACTCTTCAAGCTAAATAACTAATTTTACATTTACATTTTAGTCATTTAGCAGACGCTCTTATCCAGAGCGACTTACAGTTAGTGAGTGCATACATTTTTCATACTGGCCCCCCGTGGGAAACGAACAACCCTGACGTTGCAAGCGCCATGCTCTACCAACTGAGCTACAGGAGGCCTACTCCAACTCCTATGAATAATCTTTGGATCAGCTGGAGACAATGAAGAGGGAGAACAAGAACCTTCAAGGTGAGTAAAGAGCTCTTTGCTTTAAATGTTTTCAGCTCTGCCAATGTTCACATCCATGCACTGAAGAGCAAACAGCTCTTTTATGAACCAAGGTTCTGCAAGTGCCCAATATAGTTTTCATATATCTTCATTGCAACACCTTTTTCTCAGAGGAGATAACTGATCTGAGTGAGCAGCTTGGTTTGGGAGGAAAGACAATTCATTAGTTGGAGAAGGTCCATAAACAGTTAGAGCAAGAGAAGGTAGAGATCCAGGCTGCTCTGGAGGAAGCTGAGGTAAGAGTGCAATTTCAAATCTTCCCTGGTTCTGTCTGGATTGGCCATTTTACATCAACCACTGTCATTTTCAGTTTGAATCTTCTGATGTGTATTCTAGGCCTCCCTGGAGCACGAGGAGGGAAAGATCCTCAGAATTCAGCTGGAGTTAAATCAGGTCAAGGCTGACACTGATCGCAAGTTAGCTGAGAAGGATGAGGAGATGGAGAAGTCCAAGAGAAACCTTCAGAGGAACATTGATACCCTGCAGAGTCCTCTTGAGGCAGAGTGCCGAAGCAGGAATGAGGCCCTCAGGCTAAAGAAGAAGATGGAGGGAGACCTCAATGAGATGGAGATCCAGCTTAGTCAAGCCAGCAGGCAGGCAGCTGAGGCCCAAAAACAGATGAAGAGTGTTCATGCTCATCTGAAGGTAAATCCAAACAGATTGCCATCTGTCTGGGCACAAACTGACTGAATCAACGTTGTTTCAACATAATTTGTCAACATATTGTGATGTGGAATCTATGTGGAAAATACATTGGATTTTAAAAAGTAATCAACGTAAACTGTTGTTTTGAGGGTGAAATTTAATCCACAGGATTATGTCATCATGGTAACCAAATTTCAACATAAACAAACCTCGTATAAAATATGTTGAATTTGTACCTTTAAAACAACATCAGATCTTCAACGTTATATTCACTAAAAACCTTTTTTTTAACGGCTGGGCAGCACCTCCTACTGGAGAATTTATTTATCTACAGCTACACTTTGGTCTCTGATCCAGGGTTTTAACCAAGCCCAGCCCTGCCTAGCTATAATATTTCTCCCTGACTATTACTAATGTGGTCCTCTGTAGCTCAGCTGGTAGAGCACGGCGCTTGTAACGCCAAGGTAGTGGGTTCGATCCCCGGGACCACCCATACACAAAAATGTATGCACACATGACTGTAAGTCGCTTTGGATAAAAGCGTCTGCTAAATGGCATATTATTATTATCTTGAGAATGATTGTTGAGAGATCTCCACATAAAAACTAAATAGATGTAGATGTAGATGTGAATCCAACATATGAATTATCAATTTGTAGACAAACTGGAATTAATGTCAGAGTCAGTGGCACAGATTGAACTATCCAAGCAGAAGATATATCTCCTTCAAATGTTGATATTTGGTTGCATTGACAACCAAACACAATTCAATATTACTTTTGTAATACAGTAAATAGCCTAAAGTTAAGGCTATATTAAAAACAAATGTAACATTCAACCTTAAAATAAGTAACACATCCATGGCCACATTGAGGTTACTGTAGCTATACATTTCTTCTTATGTAATCATATAAAGCGTGCATGTTCAAGATAGCATGCATAGGTCGTCACAGGTCTGTGGAGATCTTCATAATTGCTGCAGAATCTCGAACAGTATCGATCACTTGCACCATATACTTTCAATGTAATCTCAACTGCAATCCAGGTCATTTGGTCTGCTATCAGATGAAGCACAGTGATAATAAACTGTTCTATAAATAAGCAAACTATCTGACATTGTATTCCCATTTGAATTTTGCTGTGCTTTTAAATAGTTGAAAGTATGATAGACATTTGAGTAACAACTAAACCAAAAATCAGACATTGTTTTTTCATTGGAATCTGGTTGTGCTTTTAGATGGTTGAAAGCATAGTGATAACATATTGGAAATTCAACTAACTTTTGGCTGTCTTTTTGAGTAGGTGGATATAGGTTGTAATCTCATTGATCAACATCTCAACCAAATATTAGCCAATTATCCAAGTTGAAATGATGTGGTGTGCCTAGTAGATACTGCTGAAAAATCTCCAACATTGCATATTTCTCTCTAGGATGCCCAAATCCAGTTGGATGACTCTCTCCGTTCCAATGATGGTCTGAAGGAGAACATTGCCATTGTAGAGAGACGTAACAATCTGATGCAGGCAGAGCTGGAGGAGCTAAGAACCTGTCTTGAACAGACTGAGAGAGGCCACAAGCTGGCTGAGCAAGAACTGCTGATGTCAATGAGAGGGTGCAGCTGCTGCACTCACAGGTAAAGTAGAATAACTAATTATGGATTTCGTGATTGTTAGAAAGTTATTTTCTTAAAATCTATGAATAGAACACTGGCCTGCTGAATCAGAAGAAGAAACTTGAGGCTGACACCGCCCAGTTTCAGACTGAGGCAGAGGAGGGAGTGCAGAAATGCTGAAGAAAAGGCAAAGAAGGCCATTACTGATGCTGCCATGATGGCAGAGGAGCTGAAGAAAGAGCAAGACACCAGTTCTCACCTGGTGCGTATGAAGAAGAACATGGAGCAAACCATCAAGGACCTGCAGCACCGCCTGGATGAGGCTGAACAAATTGCCATGAAGGGGGGCAAGAAGCAGGTGCAGAAGCTGGAGGCCAGAGTAAGCGTAACTTTACATATTGTACATGTACATACTGTACATAAGACACAAAATAATAATACTGCATCCTGTAACATAAATGTTATTTCTTTGTTGTGACAGGTGAGGGAGCTGGAGAATGAGGTCGAGGCAGAGCAGAATAAGGGTTCTGATGCAATCAAAGGAATTCGTAAATATGAGAGGCGTATCAAGGAGCTGACCTACCAGGTATCTTTAGTAACTCTGTCATTGGCTGTCCAGTCTTTCGACCTTATAACAAATGGGTTTAACTTTTTTGGGACAGAATGAGGAGGACCGTAAGAATATGGCCCGCCTTCAAGAACTTTTCGATAAGCTGCAGCTAAAAGTGAAATCCTACAAGAGAGCTGAAGAAGAGGCTGTAAGTGTGGACTTTTTGCATTCATTCTTGAGGTACTGTCCAGCTGTTTTAGCTCAGGCTACATTATGTTTTCTTTTTTTCTGTATCACAGGAGGAACAGGCCAATACTAACCTGACCAAGGATCGCAAGATACAGCATGAACTGGATGAGGCCGAGGAACGGGCCGACATCGCTGAGTCTCAGGTCAACAAGCTGCATGCCAAGAGCCGTGATGTTAGTTCCAAGGTTAGAATTACCATAAAATATATGACCTATGGCTTCTGACCCTGGCAGATGATTGCTAACACTCTGTTGGCTATCTTTCTGTTTCCACTAACCATTGTTTGCCTTCTATATTTTGATAGATGGTTTTTATCTTTTGATGCCAGATTTCCACTCACTGGCTGTCTCTCTTTGTCTCCTTTCTTTCCAACATTCCCTAACAATCAAGATAGGATTTGATGAAGAGTGAGGCTTTGGACCCTTCTGAAAACCATGTTTCTGCTGTGTGTAGTAGTGTGGAATAAAATCTCTTCAAGCAGTCTGACAATTATGTCTCTTACATTGTGTCCCAGTTACCCATCCTTGGTCAGAGAGCTTGAATGCTAATTTATCATCACCAAACTAGAGTATTTAGAAACATACACACACATATTGAATGCAGGGTAGAGTTTTTCGTCACCAATCATGTTCTGGAGGCAGTTCTGCAGTGTTGTCACTAGCTGGCACAGCCACAAAGTCCTAAGATCTGATTTTAAACCTAACCCTAAGCTTAACCATAACCATAACCACACTAATGCCTAACCATAACCTTAAATGAAGACTAAAAAGCAAATGTTTGTTTTCATGAATTTTTACAATAAAGGCCATTTTGACTTTGCAGCTGGCCCATCTTTACGGAAATCACCCAATTCTGCCTCCAGAACAAGACTCATGACAATAAACGTCAATCTGCATATTGAATGCTTGCTGAAATTTTTAAGACTTAATTTACAAATAGTAATTGTAACATTTATAATATTTTCCTATTTTCACAAAACAAACAAAAGTGTATTCGAATCCAAGATGGCATAGCAGTGCAGTCGTGTTTTCTGTAGTGTCCTCATGTAAATAGCCTGTTTTTTTGTGTATTTTTCGTATATATTTCTCAATCTTACTTTCCATCCTTTAACTAAATATACTTTCCTGCAACCCGCCTCACCCAATGTGGAACGGATTCTATTATTTCTTCAAACATTTTTATCCAGAACCTCTGGCTGAAAATAGCCAGCTAGCCAGCTAACTAGCTACTTGCTATTAGCCACCGTTAGCGGTCTTCACCATTGTCCGTGGCCATGGCCTGCACTACCTACCAGCCAGCTCTAGCCTGGACAATTATCGACCAGTCTGCACATCGCGCTATCGAGCCAGAGCATATCGGATTTTCTGCCGGAATCACTGAATCACTGGACCTTAACACCGGATCATCGCAACTAGCTAGCTGCAACCGAATGGCTGTTGTCGTTGTTGGCTAACCCCAGTTAGCCTTGAGCTAGCCTCGAGCCAGGCCCATCTCCCGGCTATCTACCTCTGTCAACTGGACGGGACCTCCTTGTGTTGACACGGAGCCCTGCCGATCCATCACGACTGGTCTGCCGACGTAATCGTCTGATGTGGTTTCAACAGGCTTCCAGTTGCGATGACCACGAAGATCCATCTGCTAGCTCCGGCCCGCCAGCACACGCAATCAACAGCCATGCCTCCAGCTCACTTGTTGCGTAGCAGCCACTGAACTGCTCCCGGACTTACTTATTGCTGTTCACTGGACCTTATGATCACTCAGCTACACAGCTGATGCCTGCTGGACTGTTCCTTTATACGGTACCCCATCCTGTTTATCTGTTTAGCCTCAGCTCAAACTTTCATCACCATTACCAGCTGTTGTCTTAGCTCTCTCGAATAACACCTGTGACTGCTTTATGCCTCTCTCCCATGTCAATATGCCTTGCCTATTGTTGTTTCGGTTAGTTCTAACTGTACTTTTTCAATGTAGAGTCCCCAGTCCTGCTCAACCTGTCTCAGATAGCTCCTTTGTCCCACCCCCCACACACGCGGAGACCGGCTCAATCGGTGCCTCCAGTGATGCTATCTCTTTCATCTTTACCCAACGCTTAGGTTTACCTCCACTGTACTCATATCCTTCCATATCCTTGTCTGTACATAATGCCCTGAATCTATTCTACAACGCCCAGAAATCTGCCCCTTTTATTCTCTGTACCCAACGCACTAGAAGACCAGATCTTAAAGCCTTTAGCCGTATCCTTATTCTACTCCTCCTCTGTTCCTCTGGTGATGTAGAGGTTAACCCAGGCCCTGTAGCCCCCAGTATCACTCCTGCTCCCCAGGCGCTATCATTTGTTGACTTCTGTAACTGCAAAAGCCTTGGTTTCTTCCATGTTAACATCAGAAGCCTCCTCCCTAAGTTTGAGTTATTCACTGCGTTAGCACACTCCACCAACCCTGATGTTCTAGCAGTGTCTGAATCCTGGCTTAGGAAGGCCACCAAAGATTCTGAAATGTCCATTCCCAACTACAACATTTTACATCTAGATAGAACTATCATATTATCCAGGTCTGTGCTCAAACAGTTTGAGCTTCTACTTCTAAAAATCCACCTTTCCAGAAATAAGTCTCTCACTGTTGCCGCTTGCTACAGACCCCCCTCAGCCCCCAGCTGTGCCCTGAACACCATATGTGAATTGATTGCCCCCCTTCTATCCTCAGAGTTCGTATTGCTTGGTGACCTAAACTGGGATATGCTTAACACCCCGGCCATCCTACAATCTAAACTAGATGCCCTCAATCTCACACAAATTATCAAGGAACCTACCAGGTACAACCCTAAATCCGTAAACATGGGCACCCTCATAGATATCATCCTGACTAACTTACCCTCTAAATACACCTCCGCTGTCTTCAACCAGGATCTCAGCAATCACTGCCTTATTGCCTGCGTCCATAATGGGTCTGCGGTCAAACGACCACCCCTCATCACTGTCAAACGCTCCCTAAAACACTTCAGCGAGCAGGCCTTTCTATTTGACCTGGCCCGGGTATCCTGGATGGATATTGACCTCCTTCCGTCAGTAGAGGATGCCTGGTTGTTCTTTAAAAGTGCTTTCCTCTCCATCTTAAATAAGCATGCCCCATTCAAAAAATTCAGAACTAAGAACAGATATAGCCCCTGGTTCTCCTCAGACTTGACTGCCCTTGACCAGCACAAAAACATCCTGTGGCGTACTGCATTAGCATCGAACAGCCCCCACGATATGCAACTTTTCAGGGAAGTCAGGAACCAATATACACAATCAGTTAGGAAAGCAAAGGCTAACTTTTTCAAACAGAAATGTGCATCCTGTAGCACTAACTCCAAAATGTTTTGGGACACTGTTAAGTCCATGGAGAATAAGAGCACCTACTCCCAGCTGCCCACTGCACTGAGGCTAGGAAACACTGTCACTACCGATAAATCTACGATAATTAAAAATTTCAACAAGCATATTGCTAAGGCTGGCCATGCTACCCGGGCCACCAGCTCTGCACCCTCCGCTGCAACTTAACCAATAAGGGTTCTTCGGCTGTCCCCATAGGAGAACCCTTTGAAGAACCCTTTTTGGTTCCAGGTATAACCCTTTTGGTTCCAGGTATAACCCTTTTGGGTTCCATGTAGAACCCTTTTCACAGAGGGTTCTACGTGGAACACAAAAGAGTTCTACTACCTGGAACCAAAAAGGGTTCTCCAATGGGACAGCCGAAGAACCCTTTTTTCTAAGATTGTACTGCTCATACCGTACCAGGCCAAAACCCCGGCATTCAAAAAAAGGAAGAGGCAGTGTTAGAGAGGCCGGCGTGCGGGATAGAGACTACATGGTGGTTAAACTGCCTCTACCCTCTGTTCTATTGGCAAACATTCAATCACTAGAGAATAAACTGGACGAGCTCCATTCACTATCCTATCAACGTCATCTGAAGAACTGTAATATCCTAGGTTTTCAGAGTCGTGGCTAAACAAGGACATGAAAAATATAAATCTAGCAGTTTTTTTCTATACATCGGAAGAACAAAACAGCAGCGTCAGGTAAACTCAAGAGGGGTAGTGTGTGTCTCTTTGTTAACAATAGCTGGTGTGAGATCTCTAATTAGGGGCGCAACTTTCACTGGGGACGGGGGGGACATGTCCCCCCACATTCTGAAATTGCATTTTTATCCCCCCCAGTTTTATTATTGGAATGTGATACCAATCGAGGCAACGGTGTGCTTCAGGACCATGCGGAGTGTTTAAAACAATTATGTCCCCCCCACTTCTAAAACCAAAGTTGCGCCCCTGTCTCTAAAATTAAGGAAGTCTCGAAGGTTCTGCTCACCTGAGTTAGAATACCTCATACTATTTACCAAGAGAGTTTACATCTATATTTTTTGTAGCTGTCTATTTACCACCACAAACCGATGCTGGCACTAAGACCACACTCAACGAGCTGTATAGGGCCATAAGCAAACAAGAAAATGCTCAACCAGAGGCCGCGCTCCCAGTGACCGATGATGCCAGCATGTCACCTGTTCAACTAGAGGCGAAAAAACTCTAGATCACCTTCACCCTCCATTTGGTAAATCTGACCATAACTTTATCCTCCTGATTCCTGCTCACAAGCAAAAACTCAAACAGGAAGTGGTCCAATGATGCGGATGCTAAGCTACAGGACTGTTTTGCTAGCACAGACTGGAATATGTTCCTGGATTCATCCGATGGCATTGAGTTTACCACATTAGTCACCGGCTTCATTAATAAGTTAATTGACGATGTCGTCCCCACAGTGACCGTACGTACACATCCCAACCAGAAGCCATAGATTACAGACAACATCCGCACTGAGCTAAAGGCTAGAGCTGCCGCTTTCAAGGAGCGGGACACTAATCCGGAGGCTTATAAGAAATCCTGCTACGCCCTCCGACGAACCATCAAACAGGCAAAGCGTCAATACAGGACTAAGATCGATTCCTACTACTCCAGCTCTGACGCTTGTCAGATGTGCCAGGGTTTGCAAACTATCACGGGTTAGAAAGGGAAACCCAGCCACGAGCTGCCCAGTGACGCGAGCCTACCAGACGAGCTAAATTCATTCTATTATCGCTTCGAGGCAAGCAACACTGAACCATGCATTAGAGCACCAGCTGTTCTGGATGACTGTGTGATCAATGTCTCTGTAGCCAATGTGAGTAAGACCTTTAAACAGTTTAACATTCACAAGGCCGCAGGGCCAGACAGATTACCAGGACGCTTAGTCAGAGCATGCGCTGACCAGCTGGCAAGTGTCTTCACTGACATTTTCAACCTCTCCCTGACCCAGACTGTAGTACCTAAATGTTTCAAGAAGACCACCATCGTCCATGTGCCCAAGAATGCCAAGGTAACCTGTCTAAATGATTATCGCCCCGTAGCACTCACATCTGTATCCATGAAATGCTTTGAAAGGCTGGTCATGGCTGACATCAACACCATCATCCCAGAAACCCTGGACCGACTCCAATTTGCATACGGCCCCAACAGATCCACAGATGACGCAATCTCTATTGCACTCCACACTTCCCTTTCCCACCTGGACAAAAGGTGTCCTTCAATCACTAAGCTAAGGACCCTGGGACTGAACACCTGCAACTGGATCCTGGACTTCCTGACGGGCTGCCCCCAGCTGGTGAGGGTAGGCAACAACACATCCGCCACGCTGACCCTCAACACGGGGGCCCCTCGGGGGTGCGTGCTTAGTCCCCTCCTGTACTCCCTGTTCACCCACGACTGCATGGCTGCGCACGACTCCAACACAACAAGGCCTACCACACAACGATGAGACAGCCTATATGGAGGAGGTAAGAGACCTGGCAGTGTGGTGGCAGGAAAACAACTTCTCCCTAAACGTCAGCAAGATAAAGGAGCTGATCGTGGACTACAGGAAACGGAGGGCTGAGCACACCCCCATTCACATTGACAGGGCTGTAGTGGAGCGTGTCTTGAGGCTGAAAATATTTGGCATGGGCTCTCAGGTCCTTCAAAGGTTCTACAGCTGCACCATTGAGAGCATCTTGACTGGCTGCATCACCGCTTGGTTTGGCAACTGCTTGGCATCTGACCGTAAGGCGCTACAGAGGGTAATGCGTATGGCCCAGTACATCACTGGGGCTGAGCTCCCTGCCATCCAGGACCTCTGTTCCAGGCGGTCCAGGCGGTTTTACCAGGCGGTAAAAATGGTCAAAGACTCCAGCCACCCAAGTCATAGACTGTCCTCTCTGCTACCCCACGGCAAGCGGTACCAGAGTGCCAAGTCTGGAACTAAAAGGCTCCTGAACGGCTTCTACCCCCAAGCCATAAGACTGCTGAACAGTTAATCAAATGTCTACCTGGACTATTTGCATTGACCCCCTACTTTTTGCACTGGCTCTATGCACACTCACTGGACTCTACCCACACACTCAATCAATCAAATGTCTTTATAAAGCCAGTTTTACATCAGCATATGTCACAAAGTGCTATACAGAAACCCAGCCTAGAACCCCAAACAGCAAGTGATGCAGAAGCACACATTTTTTTTTTTTTACTTTTTTTTTTTTTCATTTTAGCATACGCTCTTATCCAGAGCGACTTACAGTTAGTGAGTGTATACATTATTTTTTTATTTTTCATACTGGCCCCCCGTGGGAATCGATGCCACACCCCTGGCGTTGCAAACGCCATGCTCTACCAACTGAGCTACATCCCTGCCGGCCATTCCCTTCCCTACCCTGGGCCAATTGTGCGCCGCCCTATGGCCCACTATACTGACACTCCAGCACACACATTTACATACAAGCACATACACTACTCACACACTCTTTACATTCGCTGCTGCTACTCTGTTTGTTATATATCCTGATTGCCTAGTCACTTTTACCCCTACGTACATTTACATTTTACGTCAATCACCTCAACTACCTGGTACCGCTGCTCATTGACTCGGTGCTCGTGCTCCTGGGGCTCTATATTTTCAGCTGGTGTTAAAGTGGCGCTCGTGTCAAACGCACGTTAGTTTGCAATTTCGTCATGTGAAAACTGTCACACTGATTTTCCAGCCCTAACTTCAGGTTCGGCAATTTACCTGTCTTATATCAGCTCGCTTGTGCTCAGATGGGTGGGGTGGAAATATTTTAGGTGTGTCCTTAAAAACGTAATCTAAAGTGCTAATTTCAGGCAGCGCTGATATGTAAAACCAACCTAAAACTGATTTTAGTGGTAATGCAGTTGGTTATGGCATTAATTTTGAATTTTTCGCTGCCTATCCAGCCTTGACGCATGGAACAAGAGTAGCCTAATGTGCTTTTGGTGTCTGTGTGCTTCGCATTTAGAAATATAAAAAAAAGATTGTTTTTTCCATTTCGTTTAATTTGATAAAAAACCAAGCATAGCCTCCACTCCTCTCAATGAAGGCTTTTCTTTTGGTCTGCCCAATGAAATCGCGAAGTAGTCAAGACTGTGTCGATAAAGGGTTTGTCTCCTGAGACCAGATGGAAATAAATCTTAATCACCAAAGCTTTATTAAAATATCAAGTTTGAGAGAAGTTTGGGCCCTGTGTAGCTCAGTTGGTAGAGCATGGCGCTTGCAACGCCAGGATGGTGGTTCGATTCCCACGGGGGCCAGTATGGGGGAAAAAATATTTTAAAAAATGTATGCACTCACTAACTGTAAGTCGCTCTGGATAAGAGCGTCTGCTAAATGACTAAAATGTAAATGAGTAAAACAGTGAGCTGACATTGCTTTTTTATCTATGCATTGTAGGCAGGCCCACATTATTTTAGCCATGCTGGTCCCGTTTTGGATGTGCGTAAAACCCCCTCCCTGATGTAAGCTACGTGTCCATGCCCATCATGAAACGAGAGATGAGAACATCTGTGAATACCTAGAAGTTATATGTAACCTGTACAAGTTGCTTCTTTTCCGTTTCATATGTTCAAAACTCAAGCCCTTCCTTAGGCCTAATATAACATAGGCTGGTTCGACAGCAATGTGTGTCTTTTTTATCCTGGCTATTTCATGATGTAGTACATTTTCCATTTATTTATTATTGTTGTTAAAAAAAAAACGTTTCGCTTGTTTTTCGTAAAATACTATTACAACCAAAGTTATTAGAATGATTCACCTTCCTGGTTTTATGGTGACAACATCCGTGGCACGCTTGCAATGCAACTTCTGGAGATGTGTGAATGCGATCTGATCTGTAAGATGGTTTCTATTATATTATTAAAACATAGGCCTATTTGGGAGCAGTATAACGGTGAGTGGACATTCTCCCTTTCTCTTTATATTGGATCTTTGTCCAGCTACTGTGAAAAGCTTGGATGTGCGTAAAACCCTCCATAGTCTGCGTTGTTTTAATATTATATGCCCACAGGGAGAAATTATGGTGCCTGTCAGTGTGACATAGCCTATATAAAACAAGTTGATGATTCGTTTTGTTTAGAATTTGATTCAAATTATTAATTGTCTTTTTAGGCCTTATCAATAATTAATTTCATCTTGCTTATTGACAATGTTTGGCATGTCCATTCTCAGCCATAATGCAATTTACAGTAGGCCTAGCCCCTATATATCAGTGTGAATGCTATTGAAGCCATGCAATTACTTAGAACAATGTGGACTGCAAATGGGTTCAAGCAGTGGAGGCTCCTCAGTGGAGGAAGGGGAGGACCATCGTACTCAGTGAATTTCAGAAAAAATAAAAGTGAAACATAAAAAAAGTTATTACTTTTAGATAAAACTATACTAAATATATTCACGTCACTAAATAATTGATTAAAACACACTGTTTTGCAATGTAGGTCTACAGTAGCCTCAACAGCACTCTGTAGGGTAGCACCACGGTGCATAAAATGTGGTGAGTAGTTGACTCAAAGAGAGAGAAATATAATAGTTGAACAGTTTTGAACAAATTCATGTATTCCCAAATTAAGGAGAAGCAAGAGAGAGAGAGAGAAAGACAGAGAGCTGTATTTCGTAGTATATATTTCTTTCACTTTCGCCTGGTCACAGACAGCTGATGTGTTGTGCACTGAAGTCCACAAGCGAAGGGAAAAGGTGAGAGGAGAATGCGTAGATAGATGCGAGACGGAATTATATATACAATGAGCTGTTTGTATGTGGCTGCTATGAAAGTGAACTGTGTGTGCGTGTATTCATTGTGCCGATTCTGTTGAAAAATGTTTCTTAAATGGAAGCAAACGAAATGAAACAAGGATAAACATACATGAATTTGTCCAATAGAAACTCTCGTTTGCAACTGTTGAACTAATGATTACACCCTAGATCAGCTAGATGCAGGCAAGAGTGTGCAAGGTGTTATTGAATGTGTCACTGTCTGTCACCTTGATTGCAAAAATTCTCAACCTGCCTAGGTTGTAACAACATGCTAAGAGCTTATGATAAATGATAATCAATATTAGTAAATTATGCCTTCTTCCACACTGATCAAGGCAGTGAAATCTTAACAGTTTCATAATTTACTTCACTAGGGCAGCTTTCCAGTCAGCTTGAGGAAAAGGAATCCCTTGTATCTCAGCTGAGTAGAGGGAAGCTGTCCTACACTCAGCAGATTGAGGACCTCAAAAGACAACTGCAGGAGGAGACAAAGGTGAGAGATGAATATGTTCATCTGAAGCTATATAAGATACTGTAATCTCCTTAGCTAATAATACACAATGTGTGAAAATATTTGTCTCCCAAGCAAAAAATGCACTAGACCATGCAGTGCAGTCTGCTCGCCATGACAGTGACCTGCTTATAGAGCAGTATGAGGAACAACAGGAAGCCAAAGCTTGGCTGCAGCGTGGCATGTCCAAGGCTAACTCTGAGGTGGCTCAGTAGAGAACTAAGTACAGTGAGGGAAAAAAGTATTTGATCCCCTGCTGATTTTGTACGTTTTCCCACTGACAACGAAATGATCAGTCAATAATTTTAATGGTAGGTTTATTTGAACAGTGAGAGACAGAATAACAACAAAAAAATCCAGAAAAACGCATGTTAAAAATGTTATAAATTGATTTGCATTTTAATGAGGGAAATAAGTATTTGACCCCCTCTCAATCAGAAAGATTTCTGGCTCCCAGGTGTCTTTTATACAGGTAACGAGCTGAGATTAGGAGCACACTCTTAAAGGGAGTGCTCCTAATCTCAACTTGTTACCTGTATAAAAGACACCAGTCCACAGAAGCAATCAATCAATCAGATTCCAAACTCTCCACCATGGCCAAGACCAAAGAGCTCTCCAAGGATGTCAGGGACAAGATTGTAGACCTACACAAGGCTGGAATGGGCTACAAGACCATCGCCAAGCAGCTTGGTGAGAAGTTGACAACAGTTGGTGCGATTATTCGCAAATGGAAGAAACACAAAATAACTGTCAATCTCCCTCGGCCTGGGGCTCCATGCAAGATCTCACCTCGTGGAGTTGCAATGATCATGAGAACGGTGAGGAATCAGCCCTGAACTACACAGGAGGATCTTGTCAATGATCTCAAGGCAGCTGGTACCATAGTCACCAAGAAAACAATTGGTAACACACTACGCCGTGAAGGACTGAAATCCTGCAGTGCCCGCAAGGTCCCCCTGCTCAAGAAAGCACATCCGTCTGAAGTTTGCCAATGAACATCTGAATGATTCAGAGGAGAACTGGGTGAAAGTGTTGTGGTCAGATGAGACCTAAATCGAACTCTTTGGCATCAAATCAACTCGCCGTGTTTGGAGGAGGAGGAATGCTGCCTATGACCCCAAGAACACCATCCCCACCGTCAAACATGGAGGTGGAAACATTATGCTTTGGGGGTGTTTTTCTGCTAAGGGGAAAGGACAACTTCACCGCATCAAAGGGACGATGGACGGGGCCATGTACCATCAAATCTTGGGGGAGAACCTCCTTCCCTCAGCCAGGGCATTGAAAATGGGTTGTGGATGGGTATTCCAGCATGACAATGACCCAAAACACACATGGCCAAGGCAACAAAGGAGTGGCTCAAGAAGAAGCACATTAAGGTCCTGGAGTGGCCTAGCCAGTCTCCAGATCTTAATCCCATAGAAAATCTGTGGAGGGAGCTGAAAGTTCGAGTTGCCAAACGTCAGGCTTGAAACCTTAATGACTTGGAGAAGATCTTTTTGTTGTTATTCTGTCTCTCACTGTTCATATAAACCTACCATTAAAATTATAGACTGATCATGTCTTTTTCAGTGGGCAAATGTACAAAATCAGCAGGGGATCAAATACTTTTTACCCTCATTGTATGAGACTGATGCCATTCAGAAAACTGAAGAACTGGAGGAAGCTAAGTAAGAAATCATGACAGTCATAACAGAAATGTATCCACTCTTCTACTGAAATGTTTTTGAAGAAAGACACTGTTTCTCTTGTAGCAGATAGGCTTTTTTGTTTGTCTTATGTTTCTTCTAAAATGTAAGACAAACAAAAAGTTTGTCTGATAGCTGACCACGCAGCTATTAGTAAGTGTCCAAGGTTAATTTACCTATGAAGCAAAATAAATCACACTGCAGATACTACATTTCTCCTGTTTCTGATTCTTTAAACTAGGAAGAAACTGGATCAACGCCTGCAGGATGCTGAAGAAGCTGTGGAGGCAGTGAACGCCAAGTGTTCCTCCTTGGAGAAGACCAAACACAGACTGCAGAATGAGATTGAAGATCTCATGGTAGATGTGGAGAGATCTAATGCCGCTGCTGCTGCTCTGAACAAGAAACAAAAAAACTTTGACAAAGTAAACATTTTAAGCCGTAGATAAATATCTTAAATTAGAGGTGCATGATCCTTTCTTTTAAATGACATTTTTGTTTGATTGTTTCCAACAGATTCCTAACAGCTGAGATTTCCGACCTTACTCAGCAACTTGGCGAGGGAGGAAAGAGCATCCACGAGCTGGAGAAAATAAGGAAACAGCTGGAAAAGGAGAAAAGTGAGATCCAATCTGCTCTGGAGGAAGCTGAAGTAGGTGCCCTCTGTCCAGTATCGATTCATAATATCTTGTACGAACTTATACTGTACACCTTTATAATAAACCTGAACCATTGTGATCTAACAGGCTTCTCTGGAGCATGAAGAGGGTAAGATTCTGAGAGCCCAGCTAGAGTTCAATCAGGTAATGGCTGATATTGAGCGCAAGCTGGCTGAAAAGGACAAGGAGATGGACCAGTCCAAGAGGAATCTGCAGAGGAACATTGATACCCTGTAGCGCTCGAGGCAGAGCGCCAGAGCAGGACCGAAGCCCTTAGGCTGAAGAAGAAGGAAATCCAGCTCAGCCAATCCAACAGGCAGGCATCAGAGGCCCAGAATCAGCTGAAGAGCGTTCATGCTCATCTGAAGGTAAATCCGGAGTAAAACATATCAGATTATTTAAGGTCTACATCTGGTAAAAAGCAATTGACTTAATTCATTGTACAAATGTCTTGTCTTCTAGGATGCCCAACTCCAGTTGGATGACTCTCTTCGTTCCAATAATGATCTGAAGGAGAACATTGCCATTGTAGAGAGACATAACAATCTGATACAAGCATAGCTGGAGGTGCTAACTAACTGTCTTGAACAGACTCAGAGAGGTCGCAAGCTGGCTAAGCAAGAGCTGCTGGACATCAGTGAGAGGGTGCAGCTGCTGAACTCACCGGTGTGAAAATGATTATTTAGGGAATTTAGCAATAGTATGTTACTGTTGTATTGTTTATTTCCTGTGGAGTGTCCCACTCTATAACAGTGGAAACATATTCCCATCTGTAGAACACCAGCCTGCCAAACCAAAAGGAGAAGCTGGAGGGCGACACAAACCAGCTTCAGACTGAGGCAGAGGAGGCAGTGCAGGAGTGCAGAGGAGCTGAAGAAAGAGCAGGACACCAGTTCTCACCTGGAGCGTATGAAGAAGAACATGGAGCAAACCATCAAGGACCTGCAGCACCGTCTGGATGAGGCTGAACAAATAGCTTTGAAGGGGGCAAGAAGCAGGTGGAGAAGCTGGAGGCCAGGGTAAGTGTAACTTTACATTACATATTGAGCCATTTGCAAAATAATAATACTGCATCCTGTAACATAAATGTTATTTATTTGTTGTGACAAGTGAAGGAGTTGGAGAATGAGGTTGAGGCTGAGCAGAAGAAGGGTGCTGATGCAAGCAAAGGAATTCCTAAATATGAGAGGTGCATCAAGGAGCTGACCTACCAGGTATCTTTAGTAACACTGTCATTGGCTGTCCAGTCTTTCGACCTTATAACAAATGGGTTTAACTTTTTTGGGACAGAATGAGGAGGACCGTAAGAATATGGCCCGCCTTCAAGAACTTTTCGATCACCTACCAGGTAATCTTTTTTTATATAGTTGTTACCATGACAGGCAAGCATAGATTTGTGCTTTTCATCAACTAACTGCTATTTGCTATGGATTCTGTCTTTACAGACTGATGAGGACTGCAAGAATATGGCCCGCCTCCAAGACCTTGTCGATAAGCTGCAGCAGATGGTGAAAGCCTACAAGAGAGCTGCCGAGGAAGCTGTAAGTGTGGACTTACTTATAATATTGGGGACCTTTCGCTTGCTTAAGTGTATCGGTCTCTGCTTTTGCTATAATTATGCTTGTTGTGTTTCCGTGTCACAGGAGAAGCAGGCCAACAACCATCTGGGCAAGTCCACAAAATACAGCATGAGCTGGACGAGGCTGAGGAAAGGGCCGACATCGCTGAGTCTCAGGTCAACAAGCTGCGTGCTAAGTTAATTTCCAGATTCTTGAATATCATTTTAATTTTTTTATTCTAGTATTTCAATATCATAAGCAAAAGTAGAAAATATATATATTTTTTTTTTGTTGTGAGTGACTATGTAACCACATGTAAACATTCATAAAGCAACATTCTTATTCAAACCCAAAAAATCAGACCAAAACTACATTGAAATATATTTTATTTTTTAAGTAAAGAATTATAACAGTATTATCATAATGCATCAGATTTTATCACCTGCCTTTGTCAATATATAGCCTGTATTTGTCATATAGGATTGGTATTCTGTATGTGTCATGCTAGTAATTATACTTTTAAGAGGAATTGGTGGTCAGTTGGTTAGTCAAAGTGATTCCAAATTACACTTTTTACAGTATCCTGTTATGAGAGTTGGTTCTTATCTTCAGGTCTTGATAAGTCTACACCATTAGAATGTGTTACTTACCTTGTGAAATGTTACTTCAAAAGTATTAAAATACGTAGCCATCCAGTCTTTCTGATAGTTAAGTCTAGTTAAATATTTAGCCTAGGTAATTGGTTAGTGAATGGATTAAGGAGGTGATGAGGATGTAGCTGAAGTGTCATCAACTGTTACACTTATGTGAAGTGTCATAAAAAAAGAGTAATTTATCAGTGTATTATGATGTTTAAGTGACAAATCAAGGGCCTTATATTGAAGAGTCCAAGATTTAGGACACCTTTTCATCACTTGCAATGTTGTATTGTCACGGTGGCTAAATGAATCCACAGAATGGTTCTGGGCACTGTAAAAACCCACTTTTACTACTACTAGGTAGACTCCCTAAACAAGTATATGCTTTTAGTTTTCAGAAAGAGGAAGTGTTTGTTCATAAGCTAGTTTGTAAACAAAGACAATGTTTTATTGCTATGGCACGTTTGATGTAATACAGTGCCTTCAGAAAGTATTCATACCCCTTGACTTATCGCACATTTTGTTGTGTTACAGCCTGAATTCAAAATGGATTAAATATTTAAAATATTCTCACCCATCTATACACAATACCCCATAATGACCAAATGAAAGCATGTTTTTAGAAATTTCAGCAAAGTTATTGAAAATGAAATACAGAAATATCTAATTTACATACGTATTCACACCCCTGAGTCAATACTTTGTAGAAGCACCTTTTGCAATGATTACAGCTGTGAGTCTTTCTGGGTAAGTCTCTAAGAGCATTCCACACCTGGATTGTGCAACACTTGCCCATTATTCTTTAAAAATTCTTCAAGTTGTTGATCATTGCTAGACAACCATTTTCAAGTCTTCCCATAGATTTTCAATTAGATTTAAGTCAAAACTGTAACTCGGCCACTCAAGAACATTCACTGTCTTCTTGGTAAGCAACTCCAGTGTAGATTTGGCCTTGTGTTTTAGGTTATTGTCCTGCTGAAAGGTGAATTAATCTCCCAGTGTCTGGTGGAAAGCAGACTGAAGCAGGTTTTCCTCTAGGCTTTTTCCTGTGCTTTTTCAGTTTTTTTATCCCAAAAAACACCCCAGATCTTAACGATTACAAGCATACCCATAACATGATGCAGCCACCACTATGCTTGAAAATATGGAGAGTGGTACTCAGTTATGTGTTGTATTGGATTTGCCCCAAACATAACACTTTGTATTCGTGACAAAAAGTGAATTGCTTTGACACATTTTTTTGCAGTATTACTTTAATGCCTTGTTGCAAACAGGATGCATGTTTTGGAATATTAATATTATGTACAGGCTTCCTTCTTTTCACTCTGTCAATTAGGTTAGTATTGTGGAGTAACTACAATGTTGTTGATCCATCCTCAGTTCTCTCCTATCACAGCCATTAAACTATGTAACTGTTTGAAATTCACCATTGGCCTCATGGTGAAATCCCTGCGTGGTTTCCTTCCTCTCGGGCAACTGAGTTAGGAAGGCCACCTGTATCTTTGTAGTGACTGGGTGTATTGATACGCCATCCAAAATGTAATTAATAACTTCACCATGCTCAAAGAGATATTCAATGTCTGCTTTTTTTACCTATCTACCAATAGGTGCCTTTCTTTGCGAGGCATTGGAAAACCTCCCTGGCCTTTGTGGTTGAATCTGTGTTTGAAATACACTGCTCGACTGAGGGACCTTACAGATCATTGTATGGGTTGGGTACAGAGATTAGGTAGTCATTAAAAAATCATGTTAAACACTATTATTGCACACAGAGTGAGTGCATGCAACATATTACGTGACTTGCTAAGCACATTCTTACTCCTGAACTTACTTAGGCTTGCCATAACAAAGGGGTTGAATACTTCTTGACTCAAGACATTTCAGCTTTCCATTTTTAATGAATTTGTACACATTTCTAAAAACATAATTCCACTTTGACATTATGGGGTATTGCATGTAGGCCAGTGACAAAGCATCTCAATTTAATACATTTTAAATTCAGGCTGTAACACAAAAAATGTGGAAAAAGTGAGAGTGTGAATACTTTCTGAAGGCACTGTACAGTCTTAACTCTATAGGCTAGATTTCCACTTTATCTACTAAAGCTTGACCAGTGCTTACCAATATCTTCTCTCCCTGATGTATCTCTCTATTCTCTAGTTCTTTCCCATCACAGAAAGGGCATGATGAAGAGTGAAGCTCTTAGATGGATCTCTGAAACCTTCTGCTGTGGTGTAATTCAGGGTTTCCAAAACTTGTCCCTTACACTGGCTCACTCAGCCTCCTGTGGTGTCAGTTGTCATAGTACTCAGACTGTCCACCTGACCTCACTGCAGTAGAGAAAGAGAATTTAAGATAAATACGTTTGTAAAGTAATGTTGATTGGATAAATTGTTTGAAGTATAACTGCAAATTATTTATTTTTTCTACATTCCACAAAAACAAAAAAACATACATACGAACTACAACTTACAAACAATGACTACATCTCTTCTGCCCAGACCTGCATGCTCACACCCCCATCCCTAGTGCCTGCATTATTGTTTGGCACTTGGTCTTAAATTGTACCAATTTGTTTTTCCCAGTCGCCCATGCTATTTCAATATTTCAATAAATAATTTGATTTTTCTAATATGTCAATGATGGCTGATTGAATGACTTCCAAGTATTTAGTATACATTTTTTCAAAATGAGTGATGAGAAAAGAATCGTCCAGCCTCACTACACCCCCATATGTCTGTCATGTCTTGAAATATGCAGACAGAAGGATTAAAAGTAAGTTTACATTGTAATACTTCTGAGAGCCAACTTGCTAGCTCTGCCCACAACCTCCAAACTTTATAGTGTTCCCAGAAAGCATGGATTATTGAGTCGATATTAGTTTTACACTTGAGACACGACTCTGCCGTTGTGCTATAGAACTTTTGAATTCTGTCTCTTGTATAAATTATATACATTAGTTTATACTGGATCAAACGTACATTTTTGTTAACTGTAATTTTGTTAGTTATGCTCCAACTTTCCCTCCATCTTGTGCCAACATCAGTTATTTTTAAATCTTGGTTCGATTAGTTTATATGTTTTTCTAAGAGATTGTCAGTTGGATATGCCTTCTGCAAGGTTTTGTAGATCTTCCATATCATATGAACATCATTTTCTGACTCAAATACAATTCCCCCAAGGTTGCTCTGATGTCCAAAAGATTTCAAATTGAAATTACGTGATACAGTATGGAACTTTTAAGTTCCATGTATTTGAAACTATCTACATTGGTCAGTCCAAAATTGCTTTTTAATTCTGTCATGGAATTTTTTTTATTTCCTGTTACCAAGTCATTTACGGTTTCAATGCCTTTAGTTTTCCATGTGTGCCAAATTATCGGTGAGTTCTGAAAAGCTATCCAAGGATTATTCCATAGACTTGTGTTTCTAGGGAGTGATATTGGTTATTTCTTCCATATCGTTATAGTGTTCTTAACTATGAAATTGTTCATGTTCTTAGCTTTATCCTTTGAAAATAAACACCTAAAAAGTTTCTGGGGATGAGTATGTGCATCTTCAATATGTACCCATTGTTCCTCTTTAGTGCATTCAACTACACGTCGCAAGTAAAAGCCTTGGGTAGAGAGTTGATACAATTACAAGTCTGGAAGGTTAAAACCACCCTCAGATTTTGGAAGATGTAAATCTTTCCTATTTATTCTATACATTTTATTTGCCCATATAAAGTCTTATGACCGAATATACTTTTTGGTATTACTGAAAATAGATACAAAAACTTTGGCTGCCATGCCGTTCTAATTAAGCAATAAGGCCCGAGGGGGTGTGATATACGACCAATATACCATGGCTAAGGACTGTTCTTATGCACGACGCAACGCGGAGTACCTGGATACAGCCCTTAGGGATACAGCCCTTAGCTGTGGTATATTGGCGATATATCACAAACCCCAGAGGTGCCTTACTGTTATTATAAACTGGTTGCCAACGTAATTAGAACAGTAAAAATAAATGTTTTGTCATATCTGTGTTATACGGTATGATATAACACGGCTGTCAGCCAATCAGCATTCAGGGCTCAGGAACCATCCAGTTTATAAAAGAGGTTTATTCTACCTGTAAGATTTATGGGAAGATTATTCCATTTAATTAGATCTGCTTTCATGTTGTTAACTAATGGAAAAAAGCTATATTTATATATTTGTTGTCACTTATTAAGCATCCTAAGTATATAATCTTTTTTGTGGTCCACTTAAAGGATTGCTGTAAATGGTGAGTTATTCTTTGTTTTTCCTATTGCCATTATTTCATTTTTTTCAAAGTTAAATTTTATAACCTGATATTTTGAGTATTTAGAAAATATTTTTAGGAAAGTGGGCATTGCGTTTTCAATATTGGTCAGGTATATCAGGCGATCATCTGCAAATAAGTTCAGTTTATATTCATGTTTACCAGTACTGATACCTGTTAATTCTTTCTGCAAGCGGTTCAATTGCCTGTGCAAACAGGAGGGGAGAGAGAGGACTTCCCTGTCTTGTGCACCTTTCTAAAGCAATTTCTTCAGATAAGGTATTATTCAGGTATATTTTTGCTTTAGGATATTTATACAATATTTTGTTTGCAATTTATTATTTCAGCTGGAAAATAAAAAGCTTCCAAAGTTTTGAATAAGGCCATTCAAGATTATCAAAATCTTTTTCAGCATCAACAGCCATTATTGATAAATCTGTATCTTGTTTTTTAGCGTATTACATTAAACTGAAACATGTTTTTGTATTTGTTTGTAAGCATCTATTTTTAATAAACCCTGTTTGATTGATATGTATCAAGTGTGGTAAGACTTTTGCCATTCAATTGCTTATAAGCTTTGTTATTATTTTATTATCATAATTTATCCAATTTGTAAGTCGCTCTGAATCGGCAGGGGACTCTCCAGAATTTCCTGGTTTTAATATAACTGAAATAACTAGTTGATACATGGAACTAGGAAGTACTGAATTAAGTGATGTGTGTTGTCATTTGTGTAAATAGGGGGGCTACTTTGTCCCAAAATGTGGAATAAAATTCTATGGGAAAACCATTCCTGGTGTTTTTCTCTGTGCGAATGTTTTAACAGTATCTAATATTTCTTCTTGGGTGAGCTCTGTTTTTAATGATATTTTTTTCTCTGCTGATAGTTGCTTCAGAGTTGTTAAATCTATGAAGACTATAGGATCCGTCCCATTGTTTAATTCTGATTTATATACATTTTCATAAAAACTCTTAATCTTGTCATTAATAGCATTGTTATTTCTAATTGCTGTTTTTGTATCTTTATCTTTTAAAATTATAGCTGGTTCAGCATATATTACTATTGTGAGAGTTGCGAGATATTTACCAGGTTTATTTGCCATTTAAGTAGTATGCTTTATTTGAGTTTAACTTACAGTGCATTCGGAAAGTATTCAGACCCCTTCACTTTTTTCACATTTTGTTACGTTACAGCTTTATTCTAAAATGTATTAAATCATTTGTTTCCCCTCATCAATCCACAAAGCAAATGTATTTTAAAAAAATGGAAATACCACATTTACATAAGTATTCAGAACCTTTACTCAGTACTTTGGCTGCGATTACAGCCTCGAGTATTCTTGGGTATGACGCTACAAGCTTAGCACACCTGTATTTGGGGAGTTTCTCCCATTATTCTCTGCAAATCCTCTAAATCTCTGTCAGGTTGGATGGAGTGCACAGCTATTTTCAGGTCTCTCCAGAGATGTTAGATCGGGTTCAAGTCTGGGCTCTGGCTGGACCACTCAAGGACATTCAGAGACATGTCCTGAAGCCAAACCTGCATTGTCTTGGCTGAGTGCTTAGGGTTGTTGTCCTGTTGGAAGGTGAACCTTCGCCAAAGTCTGAGGTCCTGAGCGTTCTCGAGCAGGTTTTCATCAAGGATCTCTTTTTTCCCTTTTTTTTTCTTTTTCTTAGTGGGTAGGATCTCTTTGTACTTTGCTCCATTCATCTTTCCCTCGATCCTGACTAGTCTCCCAGTTCCTGCCGCTGAAAAACATCCCCACAGCTTGATGCTGCCAACACCATGCTTCACCTTAGGGATGGTGCCAGGTTTCCTCCAGACGTGACGCTTGGCATTCAGGCCAAATAGTTCAATCTTGGTTTCATCAGACCAGAGAATCTTGTTTCTCATGGTCTGAGAGTCTTTAGGTAACTTTTGGCAAACTCCAAGTGGGCTGTCATGTGCCTTTTACTGAGGAGTGGCTTCCGTCTGGTCACTCTACCATAAAGGCCTGATTGGTGGAGTGCTGCAGAGATTGTTGTCCTTCTGGAAGGTTAACCTATCTCCACAGAGGAACTCTGGAGCTCTGTCAGAGTGACCATCGGGTCCTTGGTCACCTCCCTGACCAAGATCCTTCTCCCCCGATTGCTCAGTTTGGCCGGGCAGCCAACTCTGGGAAGAGTCTTGGTGGTTCCAAACTTCTTCCATTTATGAATGATGGAGGCCACTGTGTTCTTGGGGACTTTAAATGCTGCCGAAATATTTTGGTAAAATTCCCCAGATCTGTGCCTCGACACAATCCTGTCTTGGAGCTCTACGGACAATTCCTTCGACCTCATGGCTTGGTTTTTGCTCTGACATTCACTGTCAACTGTGGGACCTTACAGTGGGGGAAAAAAAGTATTTAGTCAGCCACCAATTGTGCAAGTTCCCCCACTTAAAAAGATGAGAGAGGCCTGTAATTGTCATCATAGGTACACGTCAACTATGACAGACAAATTGAGGAAAAAAAATCCAGAAAATCACATTGTAGGATTTTTTATGAATTTATTTGCAAATTATGGTGGAAAATAAGTATTTGGTCACCTACAAACAAGCAAGATTTCAGACCTGTAACTTCTTCTTTAAGAGGCTCCTCTGTCCTCCACTCGTTACCTGTATTAATGGCACCTGTTTGGACTTGTTATCAGTATAAAAGACACCTGTCCACAACCTCAAACAGTCACACTCCAAACTCCACTATGGCCAAGACCAAAGAGCTGTCAAAGTACACCAGAAACAAAATTGTAGACCTGCACCAGGCTGGGAAAACTGAATCTGCAATAGGTAAGCAGCTTGGTTTGAAGAAATCAACTGTGGGAGCAATTATTAGGAAATGGAAGACATACAAGACCACTGATAATCTCCCTCGATCTGGGGCTCCACACAAGATCTCACCCCGTGGGGTCAAAATGATCACAAG